GGTGAAAAATATATAGTCGTGGAATTTCAAGATTTTTGCAGCATTCGATAGAGGATTCTATCGGAATCTTGAGTAGTTTATCAATTGACTTAAAATCACAGATCCGTTCAGAAAACTGCAGTTTTAGCAAGAAATGTAAAGTGAGTGAATATTGAATCTTTTGACTAGATATGTACGAATTACAGAAGTTTGTACGCAGGCATCAAGCCCAAAATTCCTGAACACGGTATTCTTCGATTAGCAGCTCCCGGGTATCGAGATTCACTGATTTCCTCAGCCATAGTGTTCAAGCAGCATTAAAGACTAATGGAGTGTGCACATATATGATTTGTTGATAGAAATTTTATACTAGAAAATGCTAATCTTATTAAAACTCACTAAGAGTAGTTTGATTCGTGGAATAAGGTAAAACGAAAAAGGTTACTTTTTGGAATTCTTTTTACATTGAAATGAAACCAAATACTCAAGACTCTTCATCGTACTGAGTTTGCTCTTCTTACAATGATGACCGTCTACCATGAATAAGTTGTCTTCTTATAGAATATCTGAAGACAGTAAGCTCTTGGAGACTAAATAAATACCATATCATCAGATTCAGATTGACAAATTTTCTTCTTAAAATTACTCATACTAATGAATAAATTATACATGCGGGATGGCCCAAAGTAACAGGACAGATGATGTTTTTCGATCTTTTTCTTTATACATCGACATTTATAGCTCCTATTTATACCATCTATACTAGGTGATATCAGTCAGAGATGGGGCATATGATCAATCTCTAGGCGTATTAATTTGTTCCAAAGAATATAAATGTCTTAATTCCTCTTATATGACTACATAAAATATTCAATGTTTTTCACGTTACATTCGATTCGATTAATTTTTCTTTTAGTCTGAAGGAGTTCAAAATCTGATAGAGTCGACTTTATTTCTCAGACTTGGATAAACAGACAAGAAGATGTAAATCCAATGTAACACGAAAAACATCGAATATTTCATATAGTCACATAAGAGAAATTAAGACATATTTATATTCTTTGGAACAAATTAATACGGCTAGAGGTCAATCATATGTCCCATCTTCGACTGGTATCATCTAGTATATGTGGTATAAATAGGAGTTGTAACTGTCGATGTTCAAAGAAGAAAAATAAAAACAATTATCTGTCCTGTTACTTTTGGACCACCATGTATGCTCTGAATGAGTTTTAAAGTATCAGAATAGAATGCATTTTAGTAATGAAATAATAATAATAATAAAAAACAATGTGAGATTATCTGTCGTAATTGTCGTCGCTGCTGCTGCTTCCTGAGCTATGATATTCATCATCGCTTCATTCAATATCTGAGTACTGTATGCAGTCTCGTAGTCATTGAAGACAGTTGGTGGTGGAGAGTCGACTATTAAAATAGTCGAATGCACCTTGACAAACACCTAATTGTCGGATGAATGCTGTTGTGTGAACACAACAGCCGATAGCTAGAGCACCAGCTGAACAAGGGAAGAACTATCCTTGAATTGGCGTATCTTCATCTTGGTCGTTGAATTGTACCGTGGATACATAAATTTTGCCGTTCAAATGTCTGGAGGCGAAACGTGCTCGAGCAAAGTCATTATATTTAGGACAAAGCTCGACGACAAACACAAATTCATCATTCTCTAATTTGGATGGGTCTGGGTTTTGATCTTTCCTTTACTCACAGCTACAGGCACCCACTCACGCCCACATCCACATCCACACTCTGGTATATTTATATTGAACATCGAATACAGTTTAACGAATAAAAAATTTATGAGAAAAAAATAACACTTTTTTTCATAACAATATACATACGTATCTAGATTATAATGAAAGAATTTATGAACCAATGTCAAGATCTATCATAATATTCATCTGTTACATACATCAAGCTACACTTACGATAAGCATTTTCAATTGTTTCTTTAGTTAACGAATGGAAAGTTTCTGAAAGTTTCAATGGTATATGAATTGTAGATAATGGATGTTGATCTCGAATAACTTCTCTAAAATTCAAGCACGTGAAAGAGAAAAAAAAGACAGAACTAAACATGAAGTTGATATTATCAGGTGCTTGCCAGCATGACACGTTCAGCGATATGATTTCATTTCAAACTAGATAGCTTCAAACTTTACATAAGCAAAAGAAATCTTAATTTTACTCGGCGCGTAAATTCAAATATCTGTATAAGAGAACACTGCCAAAATATAAGTTGTCAGTCATCGGAGCTACTTGAATTTCTATTTTATGTCAAAAAAAGTAACAAACAAATGATATCTATTGGATTCGCGCTGCATATTGTAGTAAAAAAAAATGTCACTTTTTTTCATAAAGTTTTTATTCTTTAAACTGTAATTGATGTTTAATGTAAATATACCAAAAGATGCAGCGTGTTCTGGGCTATGTGTCTATATATAGTAGGTTAAAAAATAACAACTATAGTAATGAAAACAAAAAAGAACAAGGGGGGATTCATTTGGTCCCGATAGAACTTTCGTCAACCTTTATAAAATATTATTACTTTCTCGAAAAATCCTTCCCTTAACCGAAAAAACCAATTCAAAATTTTAAAAATCTGACTTCAGATTCGAATTCCTGGAGCTCGATTTACCTTTGACAGAAATTCCATAGTGAAATCTATGCTAGTGAAACTGTGTTAGATTGAAGGAAAGATTTGGATTGAGGCGAAAGTTAGTATCGATTGAAGCCGGGAACGACCGAACTCCAGGAATACTCAAACCCCGGGAATGACCGAATCCGGGAATGACCGAACCCCGGGAATGACAGAACTCGGGAATACCGGGTCTGTTCCCGGATTCGGTGCATGCCTAATATATAGTACAATGCAAGATTTTTTATCGAAATGAAAGTTTTACTTATGACTATCAGTCTATGTAATAGATAATTTTATACTCTTTTGTGCACATCTTGAAAGCTAGATGAGCTAAAATCATCTGGTTTTTCGTCAGATTACATGCTATAGTCTTTAGTATATTATGAAACAGAGTTTTAGATCAATCTATTGATCTATTCAGCTTTTTTAGCAATACAATCATAGCATGCCGTTTTTCATTTTTTCAAAAGTATTTAGCTGTTCATTTTGGAAACTACGGTGTTTTCTGCTGAAAAATACTATCTTATTCACGTATTGAAGAAAGTAAAAGTTATTTTACCAATATAATTCGTAGGGAATGTTTTTCCGTAGGAATCTATTCTATTTGAAAGCAAAACAAATCATCTCATCTATATTATATATCTTTGTTACACTATGACAATTAGAATTAAAAAAGGTACTCTAGTCCTATGTAGTACATAGAGGATGCCATTTAGAACAACGTGCTATGTTAGGTTTGATTTGATAAATTCTTGTTTAGTGAGATACATATCTGCTCGGTTGCTAGAGCTGCAATCAGCTTTTTTTTTACTTTTGTTATTTATGGCATGAAAGAGGTAAAGAGCTTAAAATTATATAATCCATTTTTACTTCAAACAGTCATAAGAGTTTCTCACAAAAAGCAAGAAAATTCGCAAAAGCCTACATAAATGTGGTGTGAAGCGTCGAAAGTTTTCATTATGTCTGGTAAAATATGAAGGCAGAATTGTAACGCGATCGACTACATCATTACTGTGATTGGCACCGCATCAATTTGATATGAATAAAGATAACAAATTTCAAAGTACATACAGCAGATTTCAAAATATTTCTAGTTTACTTTTTAGCAAGACATCGAAAGTTTTTATAATCGGTTTTTTTTACAAACATATATATATTAACCCATTATCATCTGGGACTTGTGAATGACACAAACCACGCACTATGAATTATTTCTCGAAAAATGATTCTTTGTTGAGAGATCCCTGATTGCATCCAATTAACCTGTGGTCACCCGAAAAAGTAGCTAGACAGAGGTAATTCAACATACTGAGTCAAATGGCAATATTTGTCTTTAGGTTTGAAATGATCTGACACTTATCTCAATATTTCTAAAATTTTACATTCCGAGCTGAAAGCCAAATATCATGACTTTACTGTCTATGATAAATTATCCCTGTCTAGCCGCTTTTCCGAGTGATCACAGATCATGATTGAAATCGGGGGGTCTCTAGAAAAGTTTTATGAGTCTCGAACCGAATAAGCTAGGAATGTCAATTTTGTGTTGGTCAAAAGAGAAGAATTTTTTCTATCAATTTGTTCTATTAAAAGTCGAAATCAAATTGAAAATAGCTTCCTAAAATCGGTGTCAAAAACTTCACCGAGAGTTTATCTGATTGATCAAATATTAAGCAAACAAGTGTCGATACACTTTTTTGACCACTGGTCTTCTCTCGTGAATTGATAGTAGTTCTAATTTCATTTTATTCACTATGAATGAATCAAAAATGAATCAAGCTGTCATGAAAAATGCTGCTATCACAGTTGTGATCAAGAAACATACAAAAACTACTCTGCAAATAGAGTATATCCATAATAATAATTGTCAACATCACAAACACTAAAATAATCAGTCTATGTAAGTAAATAAAAGAAAAAGGAAAAATAATTTGTTCTCTACTTTTTCAAAAAAATATTGTTTTCCAACTTACAAATGTTAGTGAAACCTAATAAAAAGAATCTTAATTTACTCTCAACTATGTAGTTGATTGAAGGATCTATATCATTTTGACACGATGCTTTTTTTACTTTAAATACGTAGTTTCTAGATATGGGTCAAAAACGCCCCAGCAGGGGATAAAAGGTTAAATCCAAAAAGAAACCTATAAAATAATAACGATATTGACAAGCCTGATTTATATACATATATAACTGTGTCGTAAAGTAAATATGTAAATATAATCACTTATATGGCATGCACTACTCAATTTCTTACAAATATTTATTGCCGTACAAAAATATGGTGCCTTTTTCTTTCTTTTTCTCAATAATCTGAATTGATTTGTCTTTGCATACTGTTTCAACTTAATCAAATAGAATAATCATGAATAATACAACGTTAATATCATTATCAGAAAATATACAAATGAAATTAACAGATACATATGATACATCTGGCGCTATTATGTTTATTGTTGTTGTACTGATTTGGTATTCATTAAGTGTTCTATTATTGTTGAGAATGCAAACGCTAGCATCTTCTGCTGTTGTTGAAAATTCATTCAACCACTCTACAAGAGTATTTCATACAAATTTTCATGAGAAAAGAGATAAAAAACAAATATTAGGTAGGAAAGCACGAAAGAAAACACGTATTGATTAGAAATATTAAAAAACTGAAAAATATTATTTTAGAAGAATTAGTTGATAAAGAAAAACGTGATAAATTATGGGATATTTATTTTGGTACATCAGATGATATGAATAATAAAATTACTCATAAAGAACCAGTTCGTATACGTAATATTCAACGACGATTAGAAATAATCGATAACGATAATCGAGATTATAATGAAAGTATTCAATTTTTACATGGTCATCATACTTTCGATTCTAAATATTTCTCATCAAATCAAGATAAATCTTCATTGGGTGGTAGATTACGTGTTCGACATCATTCATTAGTAGATCGTCAAACACTTGAAGAATGGAAAACGAATATTGATGATGAAAAACTATATGAAAATTATCCATTAACAATTCAAAGATTACTTATTCGACGGCATTTACGAAGACAACGTCTTGATAAAAAAGTTGGATTTTTACGAATAAAACGATCGGTTTCATAATTCTTAAATAATGAACATTTTTTAAATTGATTTCCAATTTCACAAAAAAAAAGAAGAAAATATGGGAAAAGACTTTGTATTATGTTTTTTCAATTAATAATATATTATCCATCTTTTTGTATTTTATCAATTGTTTTTCAATGATCTATTATCTTAAAATAAGCAAAGTATTGAACAGACATTTATTTAAATCTATGAATAAAATATTCTATTGAATTATTTTTGTATTTAATTGACTTCATACAAATATGTTGAGTGCATTGATATGGGATCATCCTTGAATTAGACAATGATTAAAAAATTATTGTTTTTCACTTGACACTCTATTGCACGTGTATGTATCAGTAAATTAAGCGTAAATACTTATGACCTTGCTTTTGTTTATTCCTAAATTACTAATGATAATCAACACATTGATATATATGCATATTGCTTTACGCTCAATTATCACTATTGAAGTTGTATACATTGACAGGAAATACACCAATCATGACTAATTTATGGTGTACTGCAGAATTGTTAGAAAAACATTAATTATTTGAAGACAATTTTCGTGTGATTTGTTAATCATTTACAGAATTTATAATGTCAAATAATGAAAATTCATATAAGATAGATAGAATGATTAAACAGTAAGCTGAATGACAGGAAGCTTAACTTAGTAACATGTATATATGCAAATGACAATAACGATTCATCTATGTCATCGATAGTTATATAGATCATCTCTTTCTAGTCATGTATATAGATATACGATATGCTTCAAATAGAATTATCGTAGATGATTCTTTCAACTTCTTGCAAATATAAGAATCCGACAGTGATGCAAATCGTTTCTGTTTTGCTAAATCATTTATTAATTGATATAATTTATTCTATTTATTTGATATGACGATATAAATTGTTGATTTGATGCTTTGTTTTGATTTAGAGAAACACAAAATTTACTATACTGTGCTACGTGAATAACCAACACTTATTCTATATGAAGATATAATATAGATTCTAAAGATTCAGTATCACTAGACAATACTATTTCATTGTATATTTAACTAAAAGATCACACAAATGTCTGACCTTTTTCAATAAGGACATAACCAGAGAGAAAACATATGCACGGACTTGATTTATATGTATACATTTTGTCGTTGAATAATAATAATAATAATCAACAAAGACCATGAGAATCAATGATGTGAAACAATGGCAAATAAGCAAAGATGTATTGATATCATTGTAGAGTCATCATGCGGATATTATATTTATGTCTGAATTAGATATATTTTTAAACAACTGATACATACAAGGACAAGTCCAGACAATATTTTATCGTCTTTTAATCTGATATATTGAAATGTTTATCATAAAATATCGATAAATGAACAACTGTAAGATTTCATATATTTTCCACATACTAAGTCCTATTAAAGTGCGATAAGTTATTGAATGCATTATCATATTCAAACATATTTGATATTTTCTATCTTAAAAGACCCAATCAAGGTCTATTACAATACACAAAAAGAAATCATGTAAATAGTCTTCTCAAACATAAACAAATAAATGATTATCATTGTTGTGGAATAGAAGAGAGAAAGAAAAAAAAAAGAAGCGTTTTCTCATACTTTTTTCTCGTTTGTAAATTAGTTTTAGCATGAAGATCTACGACTCATTTGTTTATATATATCAATCTAGAAACGAGAACAGCCAATACGTGGGATAAAAATTATATATAACAACACTTACCTCATTCTTAACTTGTTCTTCAATTAGATATTACAAATGGTGTCTTCAATATTATTTGTATGTATTCTTTCAAGATGAATCTTTTAAAACTATTATAACATGTTTAGATAGTTTGGATTGTGTTATTTGATCGAAGCCTATTTGTTAAAACAGCTTTTAACCATGATAGTGCTTCACAAAATGAACTATACACTAATACTGTAACATTTATTGAAGATACAACAATTGCCGAGCAGACAGCTGCTGCATCTTCAGAAAATAATGGAGAAATTGATATACCTATACCATTAACAGATGATATCATTGAATTAAATGTTGGTGGCCAGAAAATTACAACATTACGTTCAACTCTAACTGTTGTACCCAATTCAAAATTAGCTCGTATGTTTAGTAAAGATAATTCAGAAAAGAATTTACCTATGGATAAAAATGGTGCAGTTTTTTTTGATTATAATCCAACGTATTTTAATTATTTACTTGATCAATTGAGAACAATTAAACGTTTGCCAGAAAAACCAGGATATCATCTTCAATTTCAAACACCATATATCAGTTCACAAATAAATTTTACTCATATGCTTGTCGATCTTGGATTAACACGTATGTTAAATAATCTTAGATTTCAAAATATCGTTTACTCTAGTTATGATAATAACATAATGGATTCTTTTTTAAAGGAACTTTTCATTCTAAACCCTGTGATATGCAAACTCAAGCTAGAGATGTGCAGGGTAAGCTTTCTTTTTTCATTTCTTGTACCCTGGCTGAGAAATTATTTTCTTATCTTGCTATTATCCTACAAAATGTTTATCATACTCTTTCTTAATCCTACTATAATTGAAACACTCTAAAAATAATAAATAGCAAAATAGTATTACGATAGAAATGTGCAGGGTAAACTATTTTTTTCATACTCTGACTTTTAAGGATACGTTTACAGATATACGCATTCTTCTGAGCTAATATTTTGCTCATTAATGAGCTTTGTCTTCATTAGCGCTTCTTGCAAAGTTTTGAATTATTCGAGATTTTCTATGCAAATGCTTTTTTGATGGCTATTAAAAAAAATAGGAGATAGGAAAACGTTTTGAAAGGAAATTCAGTGATAACTAATTAGAATATACTTGACTTTTCAATATTGAAATTTTAAGAAGTTCGCAGGGGGATGAATCTGAAAATTTCTTAAAACTTCACTATGATTTTCTAACGAAATACAAGCATGTATTGTATTGCTGAATAGTATACACTTAGCTTCATATGAAAATCATGAAGATGAACAGTGTATATTCTCCTACAAAAGCCTACTTCTGGACAGAATATCAGTTCAAAAGGATACAAACATCTGGGAATGTCCTTTCATGAGAAAAATTTTCTAACTCATATCCTATTTTATCTTACGCCATGCTTACTCTTACGCTACCCTGCACATCTCTAACTGAAAACTATTCAAGTCAAGTATATTCTTAAATAAACTCTCATGAACTATTTATTTTAGCTGACTATCTCTTATCACCAAGAGAAGGTACACATATTAACTTGACTGTAAGTTCTCTTGCTGGTTGGAAAGAATGTTATCGTAGTACATATGATATTCCATTTGATTTATCTGTATTGAAAAAATCATGCAATGGTAGTCAACTTCTTGTTGCTTGTCGTCCTGTTGATAATAAAAAAATACTTAGTCTAGCAGGTATTGGAGAAATGGAAGATGTTTTTCATCCATGTTTACCAAAACGATGTAAAATAAATGATAAACCGAAGAATAAAAATAGAAAATTCATATGTTCATCAAATTATCAATGTATTACTCAAGCTAAACGAGGTGTTGGATGGTATAATGCAAATAATCAAACTTGGGGTTTTGTACGTGGATCTTTATCATTTATAATTAATCCATGTGATTCTAGTGATTTGGATTCTGATTATCGACTCTGTTGGACATCACAATCACTCATTAAACAGGGTACTGGTGATCGATGTGGCAATGCACAAAATTTACAAAATTCAAACCAATGGGAACGTCTTATTTACTATAGTGTTTAATTTGTTTCTTTTTTCTTTTTTATTAATCATTTTATTATCTAGTATAAAGCTTAATTTTTTTTTCATTTAGTTTAGTTGTTGAATGCTTGATTGTACTTAATCACGCGTATTTTATAAAATGTGAGTTTTACTAAAAAGATATCGAAAAGACTATTAATACACGTACCTGCAATGAATGATCATTTAGTTTTACAATTATAAAATAGTGCATTAAGTAAAACGATATGACTTTTGGCATTACATCATGTTTTATAAAATCAGGATTGAAAATTTGACAAAAAAAAATGATGACATAGACAATAGTACAGTTTGATTATTCAACAGTATGCAAAAAGTAAATCATAAGAAGGCTTTGAGGTAGAAAAGCACCATTATGTATTTTTGTGTGAAACATCATTGATGTCGTTTGAATAAAGATGTTACAAACCTTTTCTATGTTTCTGATTGTGTCCCACTGATATAATGTACACTATATCGATCAGTATATTGACGGTAATTCCTTGGGAGTTTTATTTAAAGAATATACAAAACAAGAATTTTGGTTCAAATCAATTTTGGCATACAACTGTCCATGATAAATTCACGTATCATCATCTGTAATAACACAACAAAATCTTCAGTGATTCATCATGAAGTTTTGCCAAATTTGCACGACAAATTCTAACTCGTTCTTATTTGTGTTTAACATTGAGAATTGATAAGGTATCCAAGGTAATAGAACTTCTTTTATCTTTGGATAACTGTGGATAATTTGTTCTATTTTAACTTGAGAAAGAGAGAAGTCTCTAGCTATAATATCATCATAAGTTGAATGTAGATAATTGTTAATAACCTTTCGTACTAATTCAATATTTATATCGGTAAGTTCGAAAATCAGATGACCAGATCGAGGTTCATCATTGACATTTTCTCTATCTTCATGAAAACGCTCTATTCACCTTACAGTTATTCGATATGATGGAACGTTAGGTCCCAATATAATTATTCTATTACTTATTTATGCAACAGACTTTTAAAGGTTAACTAGTTTAGAAAATAGCCAGAATCTGTTGTTAGGTCACAGTAAATAAAAAATATCCAAATAACGCAGACAAATCTATAGTCATCACTGTCCAAAGTATTACAAAAACAAATACATTTATCTAATACTTTCATCACTTCATCAATCTTAATCTATATCTTTCTGCAAAACTGACAAATGATATTCATACTAAAAATTATAGTCTCGTCAAAGACAGTTGATCATATTGAATAATATCATAAAAGAACTGCGTTATACTTTGCCATTTGACATAATTTGACAATATGGAGAAATTTTCAAAAATATTTTCTATCTTATTTGTATGTATTCTTCTAAAGAAAGATGATTTTAAGATTTTTCTGTTGTACTTAGACTATTTGGTTTCTGCTATTTAACCAACGAATAGCACTTCAAACAACAGACACTTACTTAGAATCTGATGAAGACAATTCATATGAAGATGTGTTCGATTCAACTGAGACTAATTTTGTCTTGAATCACACTACCTCTAATGGAAATACAACAAAAATTTATGCAAATATGACAATGAATAATAGTTCTTCATCATCAGATGATGATGTAATTGAACTGAATGTTAGCGGTGAAAGAATATCAACTTTACGATCAACTCTTACTGTTGTACCTAATTCAAAATTAGCACAGATGTTCACAAAAGGTAATCGAAGCGTATGGCAATCAAGAGATAAACAGAATGCGACCTTTTTTGATTATAATCCTGTTCAATTCAAATATTTGCTTGATCAATTGAGAATGATCAAACGTACGCCAGAAATACCTTCTGAAGAAATTATTTTTCAAACACCAAATGCAGATATACAAACAAATTTTTCTTACATGATCGCAGATCTTGGACTAAATCGTAAGTAAAATTGTTTGAAAAACATATAGAATTGAATGAAAACATGGCATATGTTAAATCCTATCTGATATAAAGTATTTATAGACATGATTTATCAATCCTATTTATTGTTTTAGCCGAACGATTCTTGTCGCCTTTTGCAGGTGCTCATGTAAACTTGAGTATAAGCTCTTTAGTCGGATGGCGAAAATGTTATAGAGACACGTATGATCAACCGTTAGATCTATCATCGTTATTGCAAGCTTGCAGAAGTAGAAAAATTCTTGTCGCATGTCGTCCTGTTGGTAACCATAAGACGTTAACTCTAACTGGTGTTGGTAAATGGCAAGATCTTTTTCGTCCATGTTCATCAAATACTTATTGTCAATATGAAATGAAGAATGATATAGCTTTCTACTACGCATTAGACCAAGCTTGGGGCTTTGAAGGACGTTCACAGGTAGAAAATTAAATATAAATCAACTCAAGTTGAATTTTATTTAAGTTCGCTCAAAAAAAAAGTCAGTTTTAATCAGAATTATTGAACTTAAGATAAATGTACGGGAGGATTATCCAAGACTTGACCTTTTATAAATGACATAAGTTTCTATTCTAGATTCTCTATCTTTCTGTGAAAATTTTTGATTATTTCTGTCATCATCTACTTGAAAAATAGTTTTCATTCTTTTTCTCTTTTTACACTTTTTTGATCGCATATCCTAGAATGGAGTACTTTTATAATTAGAGTACCATGGTTTTTTGAAGTGTTGAGTTTTTTTTATATCTTCCAAACATAAAAAAACAATCAAGTATATAGAATGAAGGTTGACAGAGAATTTTCTGCTACCAAATCATCTATTTCTTGATATCTGCTTGTTGAATCTTTCGAAAAAAGTTGTGACATAGGACTGAGAGTTTCATGTTATTTGAATGTACTTGGCCTAATAACGATTTTTGAGGAGTGATGGGCTATTGAGAAAGTTAATGTAATGAAAAACAAATGTTATAATTACTTTAGCCATAGTGTAATAATAGACTTTTTTCTGCCTAGCGATTATCACACGCTCCCATAAAAGAACAGTATATTTTTAAATAGCAGTCATATTTTTGTATGCTAATTGTACTATTTTGTATCATAGGATATCGTTTTGGCCTCCAATAATCGGGGTCACAACTACGGATCTGGATCAATGAGTACAATCAGTTTGAATCCTTGTGATACCAATGATCATTACTCTGAGGGTCGACTTTGTTGGTCACTTCGCTCAAATGTTAATCGTGGTGGTGGAGACCGATGTGGAAGTATGAGAAATCTTCACAATGCAGTTGATTGGGAACGAATAGTCTATCAAGTTGTTTGAACTTTTTTAAAATTTTCATCTGATTATAACCTTTAGCTTAGATATCCTCAGACTTTTATCTATTAAACGAAGTTCATGAAATTTCGTTAAAAAAAACAATAACGTATAACTGAATTGCTGTCTAACAGATGGGTGTTTTATATTATTTTTTTTGCACTTTTATTCTTGAATAAATTTATCCTTTGAAACAATAAAAATTTATTTATATTTGATATTCTCATCCCGATTAATACTATACACAAAGATATTTTCATATCAACAAACTAGCTTAAGGTATGTACAAATAAATGTTCAAAATGTCTCTTTAATCATAGCTTTTTGTTGTGCTTAAGATGAATACGTTCATGATTGTCATGAAACACTTGTTTCTTGTGTAATAAGGAAAAGTTTCTAAGTAAGAATCGTCGATCATGCTGATAATTGGCAGGTGAGACTAGTTGAAACCTAGAAATGTTTCTCTCCATAAACTTTTTTTTTAAAGTTACTAAGCATTTTAATGAATTTTTTTACTTCTAATCAGCTAATCATGAGAAAATCCAATAATGGTATTTCAATCTGGAGGTGAAACTATAAGAGAGAAAGAAATGAGGACACTCAACTAGTTTTCAGATAATTATGATAATTATTTTATTTACAAAACAAGATGAAAATACTTGAAAACCTTCGTGTGAGGTGCGCTACTGATCGAGCCTGTAGCAAAGTTGAATAGTATATATCAAAAATTTATAATGGTGTAGTCTTTCAACTCCTAAATTGTTGTTATTTAACATAATTCCCACACCAATACAAAAGAACATTGTGTTTTGGATGCAAATGCAACCAACATCAAAGATGTCGTAACTGTATGTGTATTGAATTTGTTTTTTTCAGACTTGCATATAACCTCCATCAATAGTAATTTCCATGGTATTCTTATATGTAAAAACTCAATAATGGCAAGCATGTTTTATCCATTTCACTTTATTCTATTATAGAAATTGTAAAGAGATGGCTCGTCGTCGTCAAGAAATTGCTTTACAAACAGAAATCGAAACACAAGAAGAATGGAACGAAATAATTAATAAAGAAGGTCTTACAGGTGATTGATTAGATATCATTCATAATTCAAAAGTTATTTTGTCCTTGTTCTAACTATATAAATTTATCTTTGTCAGTCGTCGATGTTTATCAACAATGGGCAGGTCCATGTAAAAGTGTTGAAGGAAATTTCAAACGAATCAAACTTGAAACTGGAGAGGCATTACTAAAATTTGCTCTTGTAATAATCAAATTTTATATCGTGTTTCTATCTACAATGTTTTGCTAAATTTACACTCAAACACACATTGTTTTTTTTTGTTTTATTTCATACATATATACATTATTATAATTAAAATGCACTTAATTTTGTTCACATTGTTTGCACTGTTATTTATTCTAGTCGTGGATGTTTATCAAACATATGGTGGTCCTTGTAAAGCAATGGAATCCAAATTTCGAACGATAAAAAATTCGCTTGGTGAACCTATTCTAAATTTTGCTATCGTGAGTCAATGTAAACGTATGGTCTTTTCTTCTCAAAAGAAAAATATCTACAAATTATGACACTAATCACCTATTAATTTTGCATATAAAAATATTGATAAAAAAAATAAAAACAAAAAAAAACTCATTATGATATTTTTTTTCTAGGCTAAAGCAGATACAATTGATTCACTTGAAAGATTTCGAGGACGATGTGAACCATGTTTTCTTTTTTATGCAGTAAGATAAGATCAAATATTTGAAAATAAAAATTATCAATCAATATTTTTAGACTGGTGTTCTTGTTGATGCTGTTATTGGAGCAAATGCACCTGAATTGCAACGAAAAATTATGTTAAATATAGAACAAGAAAAAAAAATTCTGAAAGAAGGTGGTGAACGTCGTGAAGTAACTTTGAAACAGAAACGTGTTTTTATTTTATTTAATTCAATTACTATCTTTTGTTTAACTAGTACACTTTGAAAGATATGGGTCCAGATGAAGATGAAGAAGTTGGTGTTGCATCACGTCGTCATCGTAGTTCTTCTGTTTTTAATGCTATTAGTAAGTAAATTATTTTGATTGTTTTACAAAGTAGAAATTTTCTATTCTTCTAGCAAGTCAACAATATGCTCTCGGAGTTATTCGACCAGATGCTTATGCTAATGGTAAAGTAGATGAAATTATTGAAAAAGTAAGTTAACTTTATTATTCATAAAAATTTCCATCTAGTAGTGATGCTACAAAGAAGCTGAGCTTTATTCTCTGACCAAAAATATTAACGCTTTTGTTGCTATTTCTATAAGAAATCTTTAATTTAGATTACACAAAATGGATTTAAAATACTCGTACAACAAGAACATCATCTTAATGAACATGATGCTCGTGAATTACATCGTTATAAAATGAATCAAGTTCGATATTGATTTGTGAAATATTTCAATAAATATAAAATGATTTGTTTATTTCTAGGAAGGTTATGAAGAACATATAACACGTATGACAAGTGGTCCATCAATTGTTCTCTTACTTCAAAAAACTGATGCTAAAGATTCAACTGTTGATGATCTTCATGAATTAATTAATTCTGATGAATTATTAAAAGCAAATGTTGATTCTACACCATCAACAGATAATATTCATGAGTGAGTGAATCATATATTAATTTGATCGATTATATTATTTTGTTTTTCTTTTTTTTTTTTACTAAAGTGAACTTGTATTACTCTTACCAAATATTGTTCAAAGACCTCGTACACCAGAAGACAATCTTGAACGAACATTAGCTATTGTTCGACCAAGTGCTTTGCAATTATATAAAGGTTTGACAGTATCAAAAGAAAGAGAATGCCTCTAAAAAGAAGAAAAAAAAAACATTTGAAATATTTAGATGCTATTATTAGTCGAATACGTGATAGTGGTTTTGAAGTTACTCGTACATCAGAAATTCAATTAACACAGGAACAAGTAGAAGAATTTTATGCTGCGAAAAAGAATGAACCATTTTATGAAGATCTTGTTCAAGAAATGACAAGGTATAAATAGTATTATTTAAAAAAAAAATTATTAGAACGATCCCTATAGAGTCAAAATATGAAACACGATATACCTACGTTTGATAATCAAAGGAAGATCGTTTTACTTAATCCTTCAGAAATGCAATAAGGAAGTAGATGTAGCAAGAACCTCAGTCACGGTCAGTACCCTACACGAGTACTACTTTTCGCAATCGGGTTCTAACCGGCACTTTCTTCTAAACTCGAGTCGAGATGAGATCCGGTTACCATATATCTAGATCTGGGTAGCTATACTCTGTACTTGACCAGAGGTAATCGACATTCAACAGATACTTTCACTGTTATAGTACGCTTTTCAAATGTGTATCTTATATGACAGAGTATACTATTTAGTTTCTTTCATGAGCAGCAACAAAAGCAAGAGAGAGAAAGATCATCATAGAATCCATAAAAAACTAAGTGATTCAGGATTCAGTTGACATCTTTCTACTTCTAAAATCCAATCTATTTCGCTAAGTGTACTACGTTCGATCGTTGTTGATGACGCTAGAATGAAAAGCATTGTTGACGCCAAACTTCATAATTGTGGATACATACATGAATGTATGTTTAGCTTTTTAATAAATTATTTTCTTCTCCATATATTCAGTTACAGTATCATCATCTGTAGATCATTTTCATGAAAAATCAATTCTTTTAGTAAACTAATATCGCTTTCCATTGCTGTGCCATATTCTCAATTACAATAAATTGCTCAATTTTGAACGAACAGGTTATTACTGCTATGCTTTTATATGCGTTAGCAGCTTGAACAAGTAAAAATCTTTTGACATATCAAGATTTCATTAGTTGCTGGATCGCATCCAGATATGAGATCATACCCGAGATTCAAACCTATGCTCGGACCGAATCTAGTACCCGACCCGATTGTAAGACACTAGTTACGGTCAGAGGAACGGATCCAAATATCTACTTCTATACTTCAACACTTTTTTTCATCGTGTTTCATAAAAACAAATATTGATATCTATGGAATTGTATTTCTTTAGTGGACCTTCGTTAGCATTATATTTAATTAAGAAAGATGCTGTTCAAGGTTTTCGTACTTTACTTGGTCCAGCTGATAAAAATAAAATTAAAGACGCAACTGGAACGTAAGTTCTTATTGATAATCTAAAATTAGAAATTGTCTTTTTTCTTTTTTTATAAAAGTTTTCGACATGAATTTGATATTGTTGATTGTAAAATTAATTCATTACATGCACCAAGTACACGTGCTGAAGCTCATCGTGGTTTACGATTCTTCTTTCCTGAAGAACGAATATTGACTATTCTTAAACCTAATCTTACTGATCAACAAAGATGTAAATATTAAAAAAGAATTTAATGAAAAGAAAATGATTTCTTTATTGTTTTTTATTTAGCGGAAATTATAGAAACATTCAAAAAAGCTGGTTTCTTTATTATGGCACGTAAAACTGAAAAATTGACACCCAATCAAGTAGCTCAACTTCAACATTCACATCAAGGCAAAGATTATTATGATGAATTATCAAATTATATGACTAGGTTCATCTATATTTTCTCTTGATTTTTAAAAAATAAAGATTTATTTTTTTTTCTTTGTCTAGTGGCCCATCTGAATTATTAGTATTAGCAAAGGAAAATGCTAGTCAAGATTGGCAACAATTAGTTGGTCCAGAAGATCCAGCTAAAGCAACAGAGTCAGCACCAACTAGGTTTGTTAATAAAGTTATTTATCCGTTATAATAATACTTTTTAAATATGCTATTTTCTTTTAGTCTTCGTGCTCTTTATGGCAAAGATCTTGTTCATAATGCTATTGATGTTTCTACGAATGTTGAACAAGCTAAACATGATATTCAATTAATATTCGGAGATTTAGATCGAGAAGGTGAGAACAATTTATTTTATTATTGTATGAAAATTTTAAAACAACAATAATTCAACATTGCACG